TACCTTTCTAACGGTGAAATATTTTTTTTGAAATGGGCCCAGCAGTTTTTGAATTATATCAATACATACAAAAATATAAAAGTTTCCTCTTTATAATATCAGTATAGATTAGAGTAATTAAAATATGTTTTAAACCAGCTGCCCCTCCATTCATCTAAAATTTCACACTTATATTATTAGTAAGATTTCAAACTAGACTTATTGTACGCGGACTGAATCGAAAATAATTAAATATAGGTTAGATCTAAAATGTATTTTTTTTTATATTACAGTTGTTTTCTATGTCTTTTTGGTTTTGGATATCAATAATTGGAATTTTTCTATACAGATGGAAGAATTAAATGTGTCAAAGGAGAAATTAAAGACACTGAACGAGCAGGCGGAGGCGTGCGCCGCCAAGGAGGCGGAGTTCAAACAGAAGATACAAGAACAGCAGGAGATATTGAGCACTGTGAAACCCAAGCTGGAGGAGGTGACCGCAGCCTGTCGAAATCTCGCTGTAAGTCATTACACTGAGGGTGTTTAATTTGTTTTATTTTAAAATATTACAAACCACTAATGTGAAATTTTTGTTTCGACATCACATACTCCAATTTTATTACATATATAGACTAAGTGTTGCCCGCAACTTTCTTCACGCGAAAAAAAAAACCATCATAATCGATTTGCCCGAAGCACCGGCAAGGCAGGATAAAAAGGGGATTCCCAGTCACATGTCACAAACTATAATTTCTATTAAATTATGAACAAACCATCTAATTACAATTTATCTTAGTGTATACTTCTGTACTAATCTTATAAAGAGGAAAGATTTATATTTTTGTATATACTGGAATAACTCAAAAACTACAGGGCCGATTTAAAAAAAAGCTACGTTATCAGTGATAACATAGGCTATATTTTTTATTATTTTTTTAATTTCACGCGGAGGAATTTTGAGCAATTGACCTTCAATGACCTCTAGTTACGTAGATGCCTAAGTGATGTAAGGTGGTGTATGTAGGAGGAGATAGAGGAGGAGGAGCTGAAGGTGGAGCGCGGCGCGGCGGAGCGGCGCGGCGTGGCGCAGCGCGCGCGCGACAACCAGGACAAGCTGGAGCGCGTCGCCGCCGTGCTGCGCGAGCGCCGCGCCGAACTAGACAACAAGGCGCAGCTCGCCACCAACATATGCCCCAGGACTGAACAGACCAGGTATATTAAAACAGTAACCTGGACAAAATTATATTTTTAGATTTTTTTCCTTACAAGTATACTTTTTGACAAAAATATTTTTTTTTATTTTTCCCTTAATCTATGTTCTATTTACTACCCGTTTCAATTTATGGTATTTAAAACGCACGTATCGTGTATTTAAGGTTAAAATGTCGTTTCTATTGTAGAGACGAAAAGTATATCTTATATTAACATACATTAACTAATTTCTTTGCACTAAAAACAAAGTGTTTATGCTATTTTTTAATTTTAATATCCTTCCGCTAATTACATATACACGTGTAATATTATATTGTAAATAAATTATTGAACGCAGCGCCCATCGAGCGGAATAAAAAAACTTAGTTGTATGTGTTCTCCCAGACTATGTTCTACAATAAATTAGATCTGTTAAGCTCTTTTGGAGAGACCTTCTAATATACATCCATCCATTTAATTTGTTGCAATTAAAAATATGTATAACTGTAGAGACAAGGCGATCCTGGTGAACGAGCTGAAGAAGGTGCAGCTGAAGCTGCGGTCCATCCGCAGCG